CCTCATTAATAATCAGATCTGCACCAAAATCACAAGAGATTCTCCTAGTCCCACTCCAAACAGGAGTCCAGCCCAATATTTTGTGGGCGGGGCTTAATTTCATTACAGCGCCCCTGGAAATAACAAAATTCAAACCATCAGACCCAAGCCGTTTTGAGTCCAAGAATATTGAAACTTTGAACACATTTGCATCTCAACAGGCCCTAACTAAAAAGCTCTTGGAGCCATGGTCTAAACCCCACCGGAAGTCGGCCATTTTGAATTACATTTTACCTTGTTGTGAAAGCACGGACATCTTTTCAAGAAATTTTATAAAATCAGGCTTTTATCCAAATGAGCTAAAACTTTCAAAATAAGTTCTTTACAAAGCCTGCTGTAAGTTGTCGCGGTTTTAATTCATTTTGTTTTTTTATTTCCAAATGTGAAACTGTTTACAGCGATTTGTTTTCTAAGTAGCCTGCACACTATGAGGAAAGAAAAGAGATGTTGATTATTACATATTGGCCTATATACATTCATGCACAGACAGGTTGAAAAATGAAGAAAATATAAGTGAAACTAATTCCTACCTTTAAATAAAAGCACTGAAATGATAAAGAGAAGAAGGAAATATATCACTGGGAGTATAACACGGTTAATTCCTCTGTCAGGAGAAACAAAAGTTGGAGTCAAAACATATTCTGTCGAACATGAACATCCAACTAGGAAGAGTATCTGTGGCGTCTTTGTGTGCCATTCAAAAGAACTTGGACAAATTGCTTTCAAATGCCAAATCCAGGTCAAGAAGATGTGAAAACATCGCAAATGTGTTGTTTCAAATTAAAATAAACATGAATTCTTTTAAAGATGACTCTGTGTATGTACCTTGATGCTCTATAACTCTGGTTCTTTTCCCTGAAAAGAGAACACTCGGGAAAAACACCCACCTACCCAACTGACAGACGGAATGTCACTAAATATCAGCCAATCTCATCCTCCCCTCTCTCATGACAAGGCGCGCACAGGTCCTATCATGAAAAAAAGGTTAATTGTGCAACCTGAGTAACGTGCAGTAATGGGGTGTCGGCAATGGTAACTGGGTTATAGTTGCAGTCAAAGTAATTAGTTAGATTACTTGTTACTAGAAATGGTAACGGTGTTAGTAACGCCATTACTTTCAACGCCGTTACTTTCAACGCCGTTACTCCCATCACTGCAGATCTCCAAATCAAATATGCTGAAATATTTCTCCTTATTGTTATATCTTTGAGATGGATTTAATTTTGTTTTTTGTAGCCTAGTAACACCTAGTTGTGGCTCTGCCTCTAAATTGGGTGCTGTTTCTTGAGTCTGAGCCCAATCAGCACTCACCTGCACATGATTTAAGGCCTATGAAGCTGTACTTCAGGGTCTCTGGGCCATTTGTCTGCCATACACCAGAGAGGTGTATGGCAGGTTTCTTCTGCTGGAGGTTTCTTCCTGTTTAAAGGGAGTTTTTCCTCTCCACTGTCGCTACAAGCATGCTTAGTGTGAGGGATTGCATTTGAGTTAATGAGTCGATCCAATCAACTGGTTTTCCTTAGATAGAAAACTTTGAATCAATTTGACTGTATGATTTGGTGAACTGTAAAGTGCCTTGAGATGACATGTATTGTGAATTGGCGCTATATAAAAAAACTGAATTGAATTGAATTGGATGTTTGTAGCATTTTATGGGCTTCATGAGTTACTTTGCTTCTAAGTAAATCTGTTCAGGTGGTTTTGTTTTAGGGGAGAGCTGCCGTTTTAGGCCTTTAGACCTGAGTGAAGTTCCCTCAACACCTTCTTCAAATCACAAAAAATTGGTGTCAAATGTTAGTACTGTGTTTGTGCTGGTTTTCGCAGCAAAAATTTTCGTTTGTGCCTCTATCATTTTAAAGATATAAAGAAATGTTTCTAGAGGCCATCAAAGGTCAAACAACACCCCCCCACCACCACCACCTTCTTCAAATCAGACACAATGGGTGTCTAATAACTCAATTCTATTTGTGCTGGTTTTAATGAAAGGTTAAAGGTGCCCCCCCCATGTTATGAAATCAGACAGAATGGATGTCAAGTGTGGTTGGATGCTAACTAAGAGAGGGAAGGTAGTAAACACAGTGGGGTTTCACTCCCAGAAGGAACAATAACAAACATTGAGGACAGCTACAAATACCTCGGAATCCCACAAGCAAATGGCAACCTCGAAGAGGTGACAAGGAAAGCAGCAATGGACAAATGCCTCCGAGTGAGATAGGTCCTAAGGAGCAGTCTGAATGGCAAAAATAATTATTGGGCTATAAATAGCTATGCTCTGCCAGTAATCAGATACCCTGCAGAAATAATAAGCAGACCAATGAATGACATACAGGCCACATATGTTAAGACACAAAAGCTCCTAACCATGCACCGAGGGTAACACCCCAAATCCAGCACTCTGAAGCTGTATGCCAGCCGTAAGGGAGGAGGCCGGGGACTAGTGAGCATAAGAGTCACTATCCAGCATGAAACATCCAAGATTTATAAGTACATAAAGGAAAAGGCTCCAACAATTGAGATGCTCAGTGAATGTCTCAAACAATTAGGAACAAAAGATGGGGCGCCAGAGGCTCTCTCATGGGAGGATAGGCCCCTACATGGGATGTACCACTGGAACGTAATCGAAGTGGCAGATATCAGGAAACCTACCAATGGCTAGACAATGCCGGACTGAAGGACAACAGAGAGCCACTCAGCATGGCTGCACAGGAGCAGGCCCAAAGCACCAGAGCAAAAGAGGCCCAGATCTACCACACCAGACAAGATCCCAGGTACAGACTGTACAAAGAGGCCCCTGAGACAATCCAGCACATAACTGCAGGGTGTAAGATGCTGGCAGGGAAAACTTACATGGAGCGCCATAACAAAGTAGCTTCAATGGTATACAGGAACATCTGTGCAGAGCATGGGCTGTAAACCATAATGTCAAAGTGGGAAACACCCCTAAAGATGATAGAGAATGATCGAGCCAAGGTCCTGTGGAACTTCAAGGTACAGACGGACAGAATGGATAATGGCAAACCAACCGAACATTGTGGTGGTGGACAAAAAGCAGAGAAAAGCTTTTGTGGTTGACATAGCAAACCTAGTTACTGCAATATCAGGAAGAATGAACATGATAAACTAGAGCAATACCAGGGGCTCAGAGAAGAGCTGTAGAAAAACTGGAGAAAGCTTGTGGTCATCGAGGCACTCGGCACAGTGACCCCCGAACTTTAGGACCGGTTACAGCAGATCCCTAGAAATACATCAGACATCTTGGTCCAGAAGAGTGCAGTTCTAGGAACAGCAAAGATACTGCGCAGAACCCTCAAGCTCCAAAGACACGAGCTTGAAGGATGTAGTATATATATATATATATATATATATATATATATATATATATATATATATATATATATATACTATTCCACTTTTACAAATGTTAAATGCTTTTGTTTCATCTCTTGGCATTATTAGCACTTAGCACTAATGGCTTAGATGCGTTGTTTTGTACTGAGAAATGAAAGTAGGTCTTTATTTCACTTCTTCTAAAGTGTTCTTAGAAAGCATAAAGAGGAACCAGCAAAATAAATTGCATAACTTGTCACATCTGATTCTCTAACTTTTTGACTTTATAGTTACCCGCCCTTTTTTTGACAAATCCATGTTTTTTTTTCATTATTTCCTTTTTCAGATTAACTAAAACATTTTTATTTAAGTAGAAGAACTTTTTGGGAAGTGTTTGAGAGAGGAAATAGACATTTTGGTATTTAGTACATGAGAACAATAGTTAGAATAAAAAAAAAAAAGATCACACAGGCAAAAAAAAAACAAAAAACAATACAAAGTTCTCAAGAATGAAGATAATAGAGAAAATTATTTCATGCAAAGCAAAATGTGTTTATATTTTTATTATATGGGAAATCATATCCACTTTAGTAAAGTAAGGTACATTTTAATAATAAATATTATTTCTTTTTCAGTTTTGTGTTATTTGAAATACTAATTTATCATTTTATTTAATGGGTGTGTGTATGTCTAAGGGACAACCATGTTAGCAAATGTCAATAAATGTCATATTCAGTATGAAAGGATAAAAGGTATTAGAAAAAGAGTAAATATGAGATGTTTATATATACATTTGTTCCAACAGTCATACATAGCACACTATTTTGTGATCCCACATTACAAAAGATATTAACAATAATTTTATTGAATTTAAAACTGTATGGTAAGGTGAAGGTTATTCAGGAGACTTAATTGATGACAGGGAGCATGCCTAGAAAAACTCTTTTACTGTTTTGAGTAATGGCATTTTTTTCTTTTTTTTGGGAGTTTGTGCACCAGGGTTTGATGCATAAACAAAAGTTCTGGAAACTGACATTATGTCATGTTTGTCAAATGCCTGTGGTTTGAACAGTAACACCAAGTTTATTTAAGCTGAGATCAGAAAACAGTCAACAATCAATTGTTCTTTTAGCTGGTTTTGTGGTGATTTGAAATGTTGATATAAAGATAAACTCAAATGAAGTATTTTCTGATTTTATCAAGGTTGATCTCATTTGAATTGAATGATGACAAAGCAGACCACAAGTTCGACTTGGTTTAAGCCTGACATGGTGTGTAGCATTTGCTTTTTTGTTTTAGTTTTTAAACATGGTAGAAAAAATAAGTCATACTTCAGCTTTCAGAGTAAAGCTTATCTTTTATTCCTCCATCCATCTATTTTCCGTCATGTTTATCTCGAATGGGGTTGTGAGGAGTGCTGGCATCTTTCTCCAACTGAGAGTCTGGATCCACCCTGGATAGGTTGCAAGTCCATCGCAGGGCGACACAAAAACAAACAGGACAAAACAACACACACACACACCTAAGGGGAATTCAGAGAAGCCAATTACAGTTATGTTTTTGGACTGTACCTGGAGAGAGCCTAAGTTTCAATGAAAAACAACCATTTTTCATCTTCTTGCTGGAGCATTTTATTTTCAACAGAATAAAGCAGCGGTTAAAGCAGACTTCCACAACAAATTCAGATTATTTAATTAGGAAGAAGTCCAAAGAATTAATGATAAATCAGTAAATGTTGCAAGTCTTTTGTTTTCATAAGTTGTTTAACAGCAATAGAGTAAAGGATAGAATTAAAGAATGTTCAGTTGCCTTTAATGGCACAGAGAGATGGTCTAGGGTAGGAGCACTGTAAGTCATCCCAGCACTTCCGATCTGCATTAAAAAAAGGAGAATTGAAAACTTTTATTCAAAAAGATTAAATTGATGATACAACCCTTTAACTAAATAATAATAAATGTCATAAACAACAACATACTTAATGAAGCAACTCCAAATAAGACATTTTAATCAAGTTAAACATAATCTTACATCCATAGTTCATTTGAAGGCAATGCTGATTTCCATGTATGTTCCATGTATTACTAGGCTCTCCAGAACACCAGTTGGTAAAGTGGAAAGGAGTACCGTCACTCCAAAACCACTGATTCTCCTATAAAATCAAACAGAATTTATAGGAGGGTAAGTGAATTATAGAAGATTAAACTGTTGTGTTAAATAAAATACCTCTTGTGCATCAGTGCCTCCAATCCAGGTCTGTTTATACTCATGGCCAGAAGTCAGGATCAGCCTCTGGATCTCATGGTACTCCTCAATGTCGTGAACCGATGCCAGGTTTCCCCTCATGGATAAACAATTTTTCTACACATGGCGTTTAAAAAAGAAGTGACATATTTCTGTAACATTTACTTAGAAAAAGTGAATAATCTGCTGAATTAAAGGTACTTTGAAACCTCAGCTTTGGCCCAACTCATGGGCCTTGGAATGTAACGGAAGCAGCGGCCGTTGAGCGGAGTCCAACCATGAGAGCACTGGACAGACCTTTTCACCGGATCACTCTCTGCTGAGAACCAGCAGTTAATATGAGGACTTCTGTTAGATTCTTATTTAAGTTATTTAAAAATTATTTGCATATTAAGGAAAGACTGAAATATGCTTTTTCCATGTACACACCAGACATTTAGAATGGAAAATTTTCAAGATAGCATAAATTCATATTATTTTCGAGCATGTTTAATGTATCAAGATGAAGAAAATGAGCAATAATAATTATGTTAATACACTGACCGATTTTACAATCATCCAGTTGTGCGTCTGGAAGAAACGTATAGTTTAAACAGTAATTGGAAAAGGTGCTGCTGTTAATTACAATAATTTCCATCATCTTTCTAAATTAATTAATACAATTTCAATTATTTGATAATTTGTCATATTTAACAAGAATGCCAAGTTAAAATGTGGCTCTTGTAAACAAATATGTAATTTAATTTAATTAGCAATGGTCATTAAAAATATAATTTTGTACAAAACTCACCCAGGGCATTAGTCAGCACAATCATAGCAAACATAAATGCTGAAAAATACAAGATCTTCATCATGCAGGTTTTAGATGACGATAGCTTGAAAAAGAACTTGTTATGGGGAAGGGAGGAAAGTCAGAATGTATGTTACAGTAGAAGTAAGTCTGTTCTTCCTCTTTATATTTGGTCTGACGTCACAACTTACTACTTATGAAAAATTACTAAGAAGATGTGACTGTCAGACAATTTTTTTTATCAGTTTATATATGTTGATATAAGAGGCTTCCTTTTTGTTTTTTTTTTCTCCTGGTTGTCAGATAGTAGTCTGCAAAGATTGACTAAATATCTTTTGTTGATTTTATAATTTTTCTTTAAAGAATTTGTTAAGAATTGAAATTTAATTTTATGGTAAAATGGGGATGTTATGCAAAATGCATGTTTGACATCTTATATCAGGTTGAGTGGAGGTTTATAGGATTAAAATGCAAAGATGGAAGCTGAGGTTATTTCTTGAAAGTGTAATGTCCAAAGGAGCAACAGAATCAAAAGTCTTCCGACAAAATAAAAACTTAAAAACAAGAACAACATAGGAATTCAAATGTATGATGTACCTTTGCAGTATTTAGCAACCCCTAAGGAATCTTCGGAAGATCACAGTATGTGGGGGAATTTTGGATATGAATAAAAGTTTTTGGAATCTGTATGACTACATGAAAAGTGTGATTTTCGTCACTATGCTGCACTGTAAATTGTCATGGAACTTCAGGTTAACGTCTGTTCACGGTAATTTGCAGGCAACACCGAAAACTCCCATAAATTGTCAGAAATTGACGTGGGCTTTCTTAGGCAGTGTTCCCCCCATGCCTCCCCCCCATGGAATTCTAGGGGAGGCTTTAACATGTAAATGAAAATGCTGTGAGCTATACAAATGCAAATCAGGGTTGCAGGGGGAGTTTTACCCTTTCTATTGGCTTTCCATAAAAATGTCTGTCCGGATGGGGATAAAGCCATGTTTACATGATAGACGCGACTTCTTAAATGTGATTTTGATCCTAAGAAACTGCCTGTTTAACTTTCTTCTTTTCATCAACGCATCTTACTTTATTGGAAACTAATATTTAAGCATAATTTTAGTCCTCATAACACCCCACTATGGAACTACGGATATGTCCTATTCAGGAACAAGTCTTTATTTTACAAGAGCTGGCTAGAAAGTGGTATATGGTCGATAATGCACATTCTTGATGACAAAGGGAATTTTTTACCTTGTTTATTTATTTATATGTTTGTTTCCCTTGTTTTATTTTTATTTATTTTTTACATTCTATTTCTTTTTTTTTTTTAAAGTTATAATGTCACCAACTGCTGTGTATCTTTGTTTGATGTTTGAATTACTCTGTATTGTTACACGGAATTGCCAATAAAGCAAAAAAAAAAAAACAACAAAAAAAACATGATAGACGTGAGCTGTTCTCACGAGTCCTTCCGTATAACAATGACCTCGTATGTGATTGGAGGAGCCTGACGAGCCTTCGACTGCTCGTCCAATCACGTGTGAGCTTATGGGCAAGCAGACATGTTTGTCAGAAGAACTTTATCTCCAGTTCCTTTGTTTGGATTTTGCTGGTAGGTGATCAATGGCTGGACGACGTTTCGCGTTCAACTCGCCTTCAACTCCTCTTGGGCGCAATCCACAACTGTCAGCCAGTCTGCAGACTGATGAGAAGAAACTGCTGATTGCTATCAGTGGACTGTCTCGTCAGCTTGCCCAACATACTGCCGACATGAATGAGAGGCTCACTCAGCTAGAGAATTCGGTGCACTCCAGGTTGCTGTCCATAGAGGACAAGATGGCGGCTCTGCAGTCAAACAACTTTGCGGGAGAGATGAACTCGAGGAACAGAAGATGGTGCACAACCCCAAGCTAGCGGTAAATATATGTTCGATTACTGCTAGCTAAGCTAAAAGCAGCCTAGCCTAGCTAGTGTTAAAGAAAAATTATTATTTTTAGTTTTTAATACAGTTAATCTTATGGCATGTGTAAAAGGTATGTTGAACACTCTTAATTTTGAACAAGTTTGTGAAGATAACCTTTCCTTGAACCAAATTACTGAATTTAAGTTTGTTCCGGAGAATTTATGGTAGGAAGAGTCCCCGCATTCCATAGCTATCTGTGGAAGCTTGTCTTGTGTTTTATGACCTTAAGAATTCTAGATGCCAAGACAAGCTTTCCGCTTTTTCTTGTTAAAACAAAGAAGCAAATGACCCCAGATGTTTGCCGTAAATTAGGGGAAGCTCTAAGGTTTTCTGAGTGTCAGAGATAGCTCCTAGTTGGAGGAGCAAAAGCCAGCCTTATTTGAATAAATT